GATGTGATTTTTAAATTTGTTCGCGTTTTTCCCGAGAGAAAAAAACTCGATCTCAGGAATCCCTGTATGAGCGGTTTGCTGGAAGTATGTACAGTGTTGCTGTGGCTTATTGTTCCCTTTGTCGTTATTGCGCGTTATCAGCAGCAGATCGGTGAGCCGACACGACCTATCGATTTGTGGAATCCGTTTGGTGTGCCGCCGTTACCTACTACTCGGCCCTCTCAGGTTTCCATATATTTCCAGAATGGCTTACTGAAATAATCATCGTCCTTAATATACAAAGCTCCTGTGGCGCAATTTTGAGTTAAGTCGTCGTACTGACGAAGTCCAATTGTGGTAATGGTAAGAAATGTATGCGACTTAATGGACCGAAACATTTCTTACTTTATTATTTTCATTTATATCCTCTCTTCTTTTTTATTCTTTTTAGTTTTTTCATCCCCCTTCTTTACCTTTTCCGATTAAACTTTCACTTAACCTTAAATTAAGACGTATATGACTTAATGGACCGAAATGTCTGAATGGCTTACGCAAATGATCATCGGCCTCAGTTTACAAAGCTCCTTTCACACGGTGTTGAGTTAAGACGTATATGACTCTTAATGGACCGAAATGTCTTATCTCACTCTTACCTTCTTTTCGCATACTGTTCCTTCATGCTGTAATCTATCACGCCTTTGCCTTTTTAGGCTTTCAGAGCCAACCTGGTTGCTTCAATCTGCATCCCTGCCTTAATAAGGATACCCGTGAATTCTCGAGGGGTAAGGGAGGGTAGGGGAGAGAGGAGAGTAGTGGGGAAGGGGTCGGGAGGGATGGGAAATTTTCATCAAAGAGAAAGGGAATGATGATCACGTACATTGGCGGAACCGAGGTCTTCCCCTTCCGCTCCCCCCAGCCCACCCCCGCTCCCCAGGAGCTCAGTTAACAACTGTTTTACCGTAGAAAACTCTGACCGATACCGTCTGTCGCCTCCCACCTCCAGAAGACCGTCCTGGATCCGCCTACGTTCGCGTAAAGCTTCTTCCCTCTCTGTTTCACTCCTAGTAACTGTGAAACGAGATTCGCAGTGCTTGGGGAGAAGCTGTATTTTAGTGTAATTTGTTGTATCCCGACCCAAACAGTTTATAGTTTTGAACTAGTGTAAGACGCCTAGTCATATATACATATTTTTAAATACACAGAATATTAAAAAGGTAATACAAAACAAGGTTGTGAGGTTCTGGAGAGCCGAAGCTCCCGAGAGCAGGAATAAAAGAAATTAATAGGTAAAGAAGCATTCTTCATGAGTTGTAGCAATCCCACTGATAGGGAGGAGTGCTTTTATACCCCAGGGTTCAGAGATTACTGAGATAGCGAAAGTTTAACAAGGGTGGGGTGTCCGCAATTGTTCTTTATTTGTAACAAAAATCATCAATCATTATTTGATCTATTGTATGACATTTGTGTTTAGAATTGGATTATTTTTTATAATAATACTAATAACGTCAATAATGATGAAGATGATGAAGTTTATAAAAAAGTTTATAGCAAATAATAAAGTTTATAACAAATGATAAGGCTTATAATAAAGTGTTTTGGAAATGTTTGAAAAATTTTTTGAAAAATGTAACTATGGATATTTGTTTGGCGCTGTAGACCAGCCGATGAAAGGGACACAGCCAAATATTGTCAGTTGTGGGGAAGTAGTAAGTGCTAATTCAGATACCCAGATAAGCGAGCCTGTAAAGTTTATATCTGAATAAATCGGGCTCAATTTCAGTTGCCTTTGCTGTCAGTTCTCAGTTTGTCTGCATATTTCAGCTGGGCAGAGATGAAGTTCTGGTGCGTCTTTCCATTGGCGATATCGTTGGCCGGAAGGTAACAATCAAAAATTTGCCATGGGATGTGGATCATGATCCTTTGGAGCAAATCAGGCCAGATTGGAGGCATTTCGAGCCGAATCCTGTCCCTCCATCCAACAATATAACTGTGATCACATTCCTTGGTGTCCCGTATGCGGAACCTCCCGTATCGCAACGAAGATTCAAGGTCTTTTTTTCGTGCATTTGACAAGAATTTGCTTTAAAGTACTTATATCTCAGAGTTTTAGACCTGTAACATAGAAATGCAGGCAATCTATGAAATAGAAGGATGGAAAAATTTTACCTGAGTGTCATGCGCATGAAGACATTTTATGATGCAGTTTGTGTTTCATCCCTTAGCTGTATACACAGACCGAACAGTGCATGCGGGTAGGAATGGGAATCATCAATACAGCCTCCTCCTACCCGCCATGTTTTAAATAATCATGTATCTGATTCGCAAGACGGATGAGAGGAAGAAATAGATATAAGTGAAGGAGCAGATAAAGTGAGAAAGGAAGGAAAGAAGGGAAGTTAAAACACGATACGGGCAATCATTACATGAGGCATGATGCAACAAAAAGGGACATTTCCTATCGAACTTCTTCAGGTGCATTGCCGAAATAAAATTTTGGCCTACACGTATTACACATCGAATAAGTGATGCGCACGAGGCAAATTGTGGCAACTAGGTTGACCTTGGAAGCCTAAATGGCGAAGAAGGCGCGATAGATTACAGCATGAGAAAAGAGGGCAAGAGAGAACAATTACTAAAACTCGGCTCGGCTCGTGTCTTACATGATTAGCCAAAAATTTTTTCTATGGACGACGGGTAGGGTTGCCTGTGCAGCCCTGTGCTACAAATACGGTCAGGGCTATTGAAACTTAAGGAAAAGGGACGAAGTTTTATGGCCTCTCAGGTCGCGCATATGTGATGCGCGAGGTATACGGTAGGCACATTTTACAGCCCAGTTTTAGTAACTGC